TGTCTTCTTTTTTTTCCTTTTTTTAATATTTTTTTTACATCATTATTCATTTTTAAACAATATTTTCTTCTCCCCTCACCCTCAGGTATAATCCCCATAGAGTTTCCTTCCCCAGTGCACCCATGTACCATCACCACAGTCCCCTGTGCTCCTCCCTCTCTCCCTCTGATCCCTCTCCCTCCTCCTCCCCTGCAGGATGTCTCTGATTTATAATTGTCTATTTTTGCTTTGTTGTGTTTTGTACTGTTGTTATTTTTTTACACTGATGTCTTGTTTGGTTCTCCTATATTCCTGCTATAAGTTAAACCACCTGATATTTTTCTTTTTCCTTTTGGCTATTTCACTGAGCGTAATTCCACCTTACAACAGTAAGAATGGCACATATCAAAAAAATAAAATAAAATAAAAAGCAACAACAAATGTTGGCGAGGATGTGGTGAAAAAGGAACTCTCCTACATTGCTGGTGGGAATGCAGGCTGGTCCAGCCACTATGGAAAGCTGTCTGGAGGTTCCTCAGTCTACTAAAAATGGAGCTACCATATGACCCGGCAATTCCACTCCTAGGGATCTACCCAAAGGACACAAAAACATTGATTCAAAAGAACACCTGTACACCTATGTTTATTGCAGCACTATTTACAATCGGTAAAACCTGGAAACAACCCAAATTCCCAAAAATAGATGACTGGATCAAGAAGATGTGGCACATATACAAAATGGAATACTATTCAGCAATCAAAAAATAAACTCATGCCATTCACAGCAACGTGGATGGAACTTGAGGGAATTATGCTCATTTTTCTTCTTAAGGGAAGGCAAACAGGTCAGCATGGAGACAGGTGATCACCACTTTGTTTTCATTAAGGGGAGACGGACAGGGTCAGCATGGAGACCGGTGGGCACCAGCTTGTTTTTCTTCTTAAGGAGAGGGGGAAGCTGCAACAAACGGGGAAAGACAAACAATTATTCTTGTTAGTGCTAGATAAAGGGGGAATTGCCAGAAATGGGAGAAAGACAAAATTTTTAACTGTATCAATACAGTGGCATGGACAGAGATTGCCCTGCAGGCCTTGTGCCTGGAAGGATTTTAGGAGACAACCCAAGGGGGAGTCAGACGAGGGTTTTGAATTGGAATTTCCCATTGGACATGTGGGTTGACCAGGCCAAAAGGCAAGGGAAGAGAAATGTGCCAGGAGCAGGCGCCTGAGGTGTCCCCCAGTGAGACTGCCCTGGAATGTGTTGCACGGGGAGATAGAGGTGCATCCCCATCTATTACCCATGGAAAGGGATTAACGTGTTCCACCGGGTGAAAGACGTGTCCCTCTGGTTCACTTGGGGAAAAGTAATGTGGGTCTGGAGATGAATCAGGCATCCCTGAGACAAACACCAAACCAGAGTGGGCGAGATCAAAATGTGGGCACAGAGACGTGGATCCCGCCAAGTCATGGCCCTGGCCTGGTCTTTCCCGTGAGAGCAAGAAAGGATCTGAAGGAGAGCCAGGCCAGTGTCTGACAGGCAGGAACTTTATTGCGCTCCTGGGCGAGGTTTGCCAACCTCCACGGGGTTCACAGAAGTTGCACCCGTTGGGGGATAAGGGTAAGCTTTTATTTTACCAGGCTGGGTCTGGCTTTGGCAGGAAGTTGAGAATGCGGAGCTGAAGTCGTTTTTTTCCGAAACTGGTTGTTTTTCAGGGACACTTACCAGACCCAATGCAAACTGGCCAGCTCCTGGAATGCAGGTGGAAGCAGTTTCAAGTACCCCTTTCCTGCCCCAACCTTGCCCCAGCCCTTTTCTTACAGAGTGTCCAAAGGGGGGGGGGGGGGGGGTGTCCCAGAGGCCACTCACCCAATTGGTGGTGGAAGTGGTTGTTGGCACTGGCAAGGGTCTTCGGTGACCAGAGCCCCAAAGTATAGAGAAAGAAGGTGAGAAAAGGAGATAGAGTCTCCACATCTGAGGATGGGGCCCGTGGCCCGGCTCCTCTCCAGGGTTTTGCCACTGAATGAAAGGGTTCAGAGTTGAAACAATGAGCAGTGGATCTGCAGTAAAAGAGGTTTTATTAGAGCAGAAAAGCAGTGGCTGCTATGGTTGCCGGGCGAAACTCTGTCAGGACAAGATATTGATGTCGTTTTTTGGAGTTAAGGGTGTGGAGTTGTTACCGAATGCCAGCCTAAGTTTCCCTCAGCCAATAAAAGTAAACAGAGTTTCAGGAAAAGGAAAGTGATTTAATTTGTCGACAAATGAGGAGGGCAGCAGACTCATGTCTGAAAGACAGCCTTCCTGCTCTTTGGCAGAGTGCAGGGGTATTTAAACGAGGGGGAGATGGGCAAGGGTCTGCAAAGGGGTTGGCATTGAGACAGGTGGATGCCAGCTCGGTTTTCTTTTTTTTTTTTTAGCGCCAAATGTAAATTTTTTTTAAAGATCTATTTCTTTATGCACGCAAGTACTGGGGTACAGGCCAGAGGTGCAGGGAGTGAAAACATCCACCAGAGACAGAGCAGGGAATAGAATAGGCAGACTGACCTGTTCTCCAGTCATGACAGGAGAGCTCTGCTGTGCCATGTGGGTAGTTCCCTGGCTGGCCAGGGATCGAACTCGTGTTACAGAGGCTGCAGATAGCTTCACAGTGCTGTGCTTAACCCCTAGCTCCACCAAGGAGGCCCAAATGTAAATATTCAAACAAGTACAGTGTACTATAAAAGCAATGATGTGCTAACAACACTTTTAAAAATTATTTTAATGAATTCTCTTTTTTTTCCCTCCACCAAACCACCCATGCCCATACAACTTTTGCCTCCTACCCCCACCTCTTCCACCCATTCCTTTATTCTCTCTGGTAACCATGATCTCCTTGCAGAGCTCAAATTTTTATTTCTTCTATTGTTTGCATCAAATTGTTTTTTGGGTATTTATATTCCACAGATGAGAGAATCCATCTTTCACTGTCTTTTGACTAATTCACTCAACATAGTCACCTTAAGGTCCATCCATTTTGTCCTAAATGTCACTGTTTCATCCTTTCATAGCTGTGTAATATTCCATTGAATATATATTCCACAGTTTCTCCATACATTCATCTGTTCCTGCTATAAGTGAGACCACCCAGTATTTTTTTTTCTTTCTGGCTTATTTCGCTGAACATGATCCCTTGCAACTCCATCCACGTTGCTGAAAATGGCATGAGTTAATCTTTTTTGATTGTTGAGTAATATTCCATGGTGTATATGTACCATTCTTCTTGATCCAGTCATCGTTTTTCTTCTTAACAGAAAGGGGAAGGGGTCAGCAGGAGGGCGCCAGCTTACTTCAACACCCTCTTTCTTGAAATGCAGGAGGACTTGTTACCTAAAGACAAACCTGTCAATCAAGGGGGAAATTGCAAGAAATGGGGAAAAGACAAACTTGTTAATGCTCTCTAAGAGACCAGTCATTTGTAACTGTATCATGTTCACAGCAGTATCTCAGACTGGCCCATTTGCGCTCCATAGCTTTTTGGGGCCCTTATGGGCTCCCCAGCTGTGGGGTCACACAAACACACCAGATTGAAGGACCAGATCATTCACTCACACCTCCACACCAGAGATTGCAACAACTCCCTCCCTCTTTAGGGAGTTCCCTGCCTGGGAGACCCTAAATCTCTTGAAAGGTGATCAGTCTCTCCTCTTACCCCTACGGGGTAGCCTGAGTTGGTACAGGGTACCGGGACCATACCTTGTCTGACGTCGGTGCCAGGTCCTGGTCTCATTCAGCACTTTTAAGTCTGGCCTGGACAAGGTTGCGGGTCTGGGTAAAAGCAACCAAGTCGGAGACCCCCAGAGTTCCCAGCAGAGCCCAATTTCCCCTTCTTTAGTTCCTCTCACCACCTCCACCAGCCCTCCTCCTAGGCCCAAGTGGCATCAAAGGGCGAAGTGCCTGGTTTTCCTGAACAACCCACTAATTTGTTGCGGAAGCTGACAGGAAAAAACAAACTGTACTCTAGGGCAGGTGAGTCGGGAAATTTATATTTTCTCACATGTGGACGCAGACACAGGAAGACACTCCTAAATAAAAGTCTGGGCCTTGAGCTAACGCAGAGATTCCTTTTTATACACAATTGTCTCAACATTTGTTACACAGGAAGAGTGACAGATTGGTTTAAAAGGGGCAAAACCATTTGGTGGGAGGCAAGGCCATTTCACCCTAAAAAGGGGAGTGTGGGAAGTGGGTGAGAGGGAAGCCACCACCCAGAGATTATTCAAAGAAACCCAGCCTGTCTTCCTCTCTCTCTCCTTTCCTTCTGGAATGCAGCTTTGTCTGGAGAGGGGTGTAGAGACCTGGCCATGGATCCTTCACAGGGAAAATTTGCAAGTGAGCAAACTTGTTCACTGTGTTATGGAGCAGCCCTGATATAAAACGGGTTACCTGGCTGTGGGTCCTCACCCGCGCGCTTAAAAGGGACTTATTAATACTCCACTGCAGGCACACACAAAAGGTTAATAAAAGGTTTATTTACAAGGGAAAGGGAATTGAGGAAATGTACAACTCAGGGAGAAAATAGGGAAATAAAGTCTTTAATGCCTCCTACCCGATCCGCCAACCTGGAAACCCAAAGGCACTCTCAGAGCTGACTGAGCACTGCCAGCTGGTGGAGAGCCAGAAAAGGGAACCCCCCAAAGCCCACGTGTCTGGTTTTATACCAAACCTGGCTGCTTAACCCCACCCTCAGGTTCCAGCCACCTTCCCTTTGGTGGTGATGGGATTTGTCTTTCCCAATGTCCTGATGGTTTTGGTCTGGTGTGGGGGTGGGGTCCACAAAGCCTCTATGGAATTAGCTTTAGGACACCCTTTTCCCCCTAACAATTGCACCTACACTGGAATGCTAATTGCACCTGGATTGAAATGATTATCTGATGGGGACTGTTACTACAACGATTTGCTTACTGTTTTTGTTTTTGGTTTTGGTTTGTTTTTCTCCATCAAAAGAAAAGAAGAAAAAAGCTGAAAAGAAGGGACGTGACTATCTGAAAACATTGGAAAGGTCAGGCCTAGTTGGTAAGTTGCCGTTTAAGTGAGTAGACAAAGTGCACTCTGCCTAATGTCAATCTTCTGTTCCCCCTACCACCTGGCACCTTTGGGCCCCACCACTGAATCCTCCTAAGCATTCTTCAGGTCAGTGACTTAGGCCCAGTCTATACAATCGGGAATCCTGGAGCACAGAAGGCAGTTCTTACAGAACTCTTCATCTGCCAGGTGCATTCCCAGCATCCCATGTGCCCTCACCTGCCCTGGAGTGGGGCTCAGTGCTGAGAGAGGACGAGGCTGACATTCAGAAGGGCCCTGGGAAGGAGGGGATAGGTGTCCCATCCAGCTCCCAAAAGGACACTAGCCTGGCCTCCTGGCTCTATCCCTTCCCTGCTCCACCTCAGGGTCCCATCTGTGAAATGGGAGAGCAAATGCCTCCACTATGAACAGAGAACCCAAGGTAAACACTGGGCACAGATCTAACACCCAGCAGGTGCTCAGGACACAGGAGCCCAGATGCTGCTGCTGCTGCTGCTGCTGCTGCTGCTGCTGCTGCTGCTGCTGCTGCTGTTGCTGCTGTTGCTTTCACTCTAGCAGCCCTGGGGGGTGGAGGCTCTTCATGCCATGGGGAGACCTGAGGCTCAGAGTGGGTAGACTCACACCGGGAGGCGGAGACAGACCCAGGACAGGGTGTGTATTTCCTGTTCCTGGGTCCCAGATCATAAGTTTGTCCAGCAGTGTCTGTCTGGGGGTGGTTTTCCCATGAGCAACAGGAGGTGTTGGGGGAGGGGCCAGCAATGGCTTCCGTAGTGTCCCCTGCACTGTCTTGGAGACACAAGCCCTGGGAGACAGAGCCATGGAACTCAGAACCACATTCCTGGGCAGGGATGTCCCCTGCACCAGCTGCTGCTTGGGGAGACCCCCACCACGTTTCCTCCTCCGTGCTGCTCACCACTGCTTACCTTTTGACCTTTGTTCATAATCTTGCAGACAAGTGTGAAAGGGGCTCCCATTTTACTTTTCAATTTGCATTTATCTAATGATTAGAGATAATGAACACCCTTTCCTGAACTTGGTCATTTGCATATCTGCTTGTCAAAATGTGTATTCGAGTCTGTTACTAATTTTTAATGGGATTATTGAGTTAGATTTTATATACATTTTGGACATGAACTCCTTATCTTGTATATAATTTGAAAATATTTTTGCCCACTCCATGGGTGGCCTTCTCATTTTGTTGACCCAAAGCCTGAGGAGCCCCCTGATGATGTGATACACAAAACATTGGATTTGGGTCCTCGGCCACTAAAATCTCCGGAACCGCTGGCATGCTTAGAGGGTCCTTTGAAGCTAACGGGTGACTGGGCTGGGCCCTAGGAAACTACAGGACAAGCCTGGTGACCAGAAAGACATAACTTGGCTTCCAGGGAGAGGGGCTTAGAGTTTGAGGATGGGTCCTTTCCGCATGTAAGGCAGAAAGCGGTCTCCTTCTGGAAGGATTGGGTATACAAATAAGGAAGTAAGATTAAATTAAAACTCAAATCAGGAATAATCCCATCCAACATTAAAATGAGAGTCCAGTGCACTCAGAAACCAAAAGAGACTCCTCAGTGAGAGGAGTTGTCCTGTTGTCATTGATATAGTAGACTGTGTCCCTGGGGAGGACTAGGCCTACAGGCTGCCTTAAGACAAGTGGGTTGGGGTGTGGTTTTTCTCTTTGTTTGTTTGTTTGCTAAATCCATATTGAGATGACTGTACTTTGTGCTTGACTATTGTTGGACCCCTGAAGATAAGAGCATGGTTGTGTTTATTCTCTTCGAAGATCACAGGGGTTGGGTTGTGGAGATAGCGGGGGAAGGGGAGGGTTACAAACTTTCCTTGGTAAAAGGACATCAAGTCCTCATATTTTCCTCACTTGACACCTAGGGAAGGTTAGAAAAGGAAGAGAGGAGGGAATTGGATAGACTCGAGGCTATTTAACAGAAGGTTGTAGCTATTGCTGCTCAGTGCCCGGTTTGATGTAAGGCTTCCAGGGAGAGGGGCTGAGATTCGCCTCGCCACTAAAGCCAAGGATTTCATCAGTTCTGCCTACGCAATGTAACCTAAATACAGACAGGGTTTTCAGGCTGGAGTCTCCCTGTTGGGGAAACACGGAGGTGCCAGGAGGACAGCACACAGACAGGGCTCAGGAGTTCCTGCACCTCCCACCCCTCAGCCTGTGCTGCATCCCTTTGCGGGTCCTGAGCCAAACACCTGCATCCTAAGCCAGTAAGGAGACTGTTCCTGAGTCCTGAGAGTCAGTCTAGGAAACTCTCAACCCTGAAAGCATTTGTGGGGTTGTGAGGACTTTGGAATTTGAATGTAGGATGAACAAACAGGGTGGATAATCAGGGCACCTCATTGGCAACTGCCATCTGAGGTGGGGAGCGGTCCTGCGGTACAGGATGAAGCCCTGTTGAAACCCTGGGTCTTGTGCTGAGTCTGGGGAGTTCATGTCAGTGTTGACCTGAGTTATAGGACACCCAGCAGGTGTCCCAGAGAGCTGGTGTCAGGAGATAAAAACCCAAACCCCTCTTCCAGAATAAATTCTCTATACATGGAAAGTAGCGTCCCCCATGGAGGCTCAAATTCCTGACACATCCCTCCTTTAGGGCAGCCCTTTCAGCTCTTGGTGAATCTGACTGTCAGAATGTCCTGCACTGGCTATTGTCCATTAAAAATAGAAGTAATCATGTAAAATGTTGAAAGGTTTCTATGAGCTTTTGCTGAATTTTTACCTCTTGGCTTACCTAAGATGACCCATTTGGCAGGTGAGCAAAGGGAAGTCAGGGCAATGAATCAGCCACCCAAGGAATCCATGTCTAAGGGAGTCAGAGCTGCAGCTCCTCAGGCCTGGCTTCCTCCATCCCAGGTCAAGCCAGACACCTCCAGCAAGGAATCCCCAACATTCAAGGATCTGCAGGTGTCACTCTTATACCCAGTGTCCCCATGTCTGCTTCACCAGGGAATGTGGAGATTGGCTGAGTGCTGAGCTGCCTGCAAAGCCCACCAGGCCTGGAACACACACAGCTCAGTGCCCCTCACACATGGCAGGATTTGCAATGGGGCTCAGGAAACCCTGAAATCCAGGAGTGGCTGAAACAATGCTCCCTGGGACTGCTGTCATTTCCTTCTGAGAGCTGCACTGCACCCCAAACCTACCTCCCCGGAAAGACCACACTCTCCAGGCAGGTTAGGGGTGGGGAGCCTCTCTGAAGGTGCCTGCACCAGCGTGATCCCTGCTCAGCATGGTGAGCACTCTGATTCCACTACCTGGACTATTGTGTGGAGGTGGCTGATAGAGGTGCCTGTTCTGAGTCTTTGCCCTTAGCAGGCATGCCCTGACCCTCCACTCTCTTGGCCACACCCCTGTGTGCTTTCCTCTGCGTGACTACCACTCTGGCTGACTGAGGCCTGGTGTCCCAGGGCCAGGCGAGATCTGAGGAGACCTGGGCGTGGATGCCCTTAGTTCTACTCCCGGAAACTCCCACTCCTATCAGCATCAAGCTCAAGGCTGGATGCCAGAATCCAGGAGAGGGAAGACTCAGAGGACACAGATCAGGGGTGTTACCCCCACCCCTCACCCTGCCTTCCCATCAGGCATCCTGAATGTGACCCCCCTCTTCCCAGACCCCAGATCTCCTGACCTTGTCCAGTGTCTCATGCTCCCCTGGGCTCCTCCTTCCTAGGGCTTTTCTACCACTCCCCTTTGTCTTCCTCCTCCAACACCATCTGCTGGCAGGTTCCTGGGGTGTGAAAAGCTGGTTGTGAGTGCATGCTGGGTAGGAGCTTAGCAGGAGGAGAATGACCCCAATGGAGACTCCCCTTGGGAGATATGGGGTCAAGGGGTGCACTGTTTCCTGCCTGCCTGATCTTGCTCCCCTCCACCCCCTCCTCTCCCAGTGAGAACCCAACAAGAAGCTAAGCAAATAACGAAGAATGAGCCACAAAAGAGTGATGAAGACTTCGATTCTGGTCACCGGCCTCCAAGACACAATTCTCAGATGAAGGGTCGAAAGAAGTTACAGTGGCAATGGTTGGCTAATGCCCCAAAAGCTATGGTGCCTAAATCAAGTGAGCAGACAAAGTGCCCTCTGCCTGTTGTCCTCTTCTGCTCTCCCACCACCGCTGCCCCCTCGGCCCCACCATGAACCCTCCTAGACCTTCTTCTAGTCACTGATAGGGGGCCCAAGGGAGGTTCCCTGATCAGAGGAGGTTCCCAGATCAGAGGAGAGGTTGGTTCCCTAACCAAGGGAGGTTCCCAGATCAGAGGAGGCAGCGCTCACAGGACTCCTCATCTGCCAACTGCATTCCCAGCACCCCATGTGTCCTCACCTGCCCGGGAGGGGTGCTCAGAGCCAGAGGAGGAGGCTGACATTCAGAAAGGCCCTGGAAGGGAGGGGTTGCATTTCGCGTCCAGCTCCCAAGCGGACACTGCCTGGCTCCTGGCTCTACCGCTTCGATGCTCCACCTCAGGGTCCCCATCTTTGAAATGGGACAGCAAGAGCCTGCCTCTGTGGACTTTGTGAGGGTGACAGAGAGAATCCAGGGTAAACACTCCACACAGATGTAACACCTAGTAGGTGCTCAGTACACAGGAGCCCAGCTGCTACTGCTGTGCTGCTGTTGTTACTCCCAGCAGCCCCAGGAGGTGGGGGTCTTCATGACACAAGGGAGAGCTGAGGCTCAGCACACAAGGAGGCAGGCACAGAACCAGGACAGGGTTGTCCATTTCCTGGGTCCCTGATCAGGACGTTTGTCCAGCAGTGTCTGTCAGGGGGCCGTTTTCCCGTGAGCACCAGGAGAGGTTGGGGGAGGAGACTGCAATGGCTTCGGAGGTGTCCCCTGCACTCTCTTGGGGACACAAGCCCTGGGAGACAGAGCCATGGAACCCAGATCCACGTTCCTGGCCAGGGATGTTTCCTGCACTGTCTGCTGCTTTGAGAGATCCCCACCCAGTTTCCTCTTCCCTGCTGGCTCAGCATTGCTTACCTCTTGACTTGTGTTCATAATCTCGCAGACAAGGGTCACATGGTCTCTCATTTTGCCTTTTGATTTGCATTTACCTGATGATTAGTGATACTGAGCACCCTTTCGTGATCTTGATCGTTTGCATATCTGCTTTTAGGAAATGTCTGTTCAATTTATTGATTTTTAGTTGGATTTTTGATTTATAGTCTTTATACATTTTGGACAGGAACTCCTTTCTGGTATATAATTTGCAAGTATCTTTACCCACCCCAAGGGTGGCCTTCCCATTATGGACCCAAAATCCCAGGAGCCCCCTTATGATGTAATAGACAAATCCTTGGTTTGTGACCTCAGCCACTAAAACCCAGGGAATCTCAGGTGTGCTGAGAGGGTGTTTTAATGCTAAAGATGACTGGATTGGGCCCTAGGAAACTACAGGGCGAGCCTGGTGACCAGAAAGAAAAAGGTTGGCTTCCAGGGAGAGGGGCTAAGAGTTTGAGGATGGATCCTTTCCTCATGTAAGGCAGAACCCAGTCTCCTTCTGGAAGAACTCAGTATACAAACAAGGAAGTGAGGTTAACATTCAAATTCAAATCAAGACTACCATCACCCATATTAAAATGAGAGTCCAATGGAGCCAAAGGCCAAAAGAGACTCCTCAGTGAGAGGGTGTGTCCTGTTGTCAAAGATATAGTAGATTGTGTCCCTGGGGAGGACTAGGCCTGCAGGCTGCCTTAAGACAGGTGTCTGGGTTGTTGTTTTGTTGTTCATTTATTTGTTATTTGACCTCATGGCAGCATCAAGCTCAAGGCTGGGATGCCAGAATCCAGGTCCAAGAGAGGAAGACTCAGTGGACACAGATCAGTGGTTGTCACCCCACAACCCTCACCCCGCCTTCCCATCAGGGATCCTGAATGAGACCCCCCCCCAATCCCCCAGACTCCAGATCTCCTGACCTTGTCCAGTGTCTCACACTTCCCTGAGCTCCTCCTTCCTAGGGTTTTTCTACCACTCCCCTTTGTCTTCCTCCTCCAACACCATCTGCTGGCAGGTTCCTGGGGTGTGAAAAGCTGGTTGTGAGTGCATGCTGGGTAGGAGCTTAGCAGGAGGAGAATGACCCCAATGGAGACTCCCCTTGGGAGATATGGGGCCAAGGGGTGCACTGTTTCCTGCCTGCCTGATCTTGCTCCCCTCCACCCCCTCCTCTCCCAGTGAGAACCCAACAAGAAGCTAAGCAAATAATGAAGAATGAGCCACAAAAGAGTGATGAAGACTTCGATTCTGGTCACCGGCCTCCAAGACACAATTCTCAGATGAAGGGTCGAAAGAAGTTACAGTGGCAATGGTTGGCTAATGCCCCAAAAGCTATGGTGCCTAAATCAAGTGAGTGGAAAAAGTGCCCTCTGCCTGTGGTCATATTCTGTTTCCCCACCACCTCTCCCCTTTGGGCCCCACCCTGAACCCTCCTAGACCTTCTTCTAGTCACTGATAGGGGGCCCCATTATCCAAGGGAGGTTCCCAGACCAGAGGAGGCAGCGCTCACAGGACTCCTCATCTGCCAACTGCATTCCCAGCACCCCATGTGCCCTCACCTGCCCGGGAGGGGTGCTCAGAGCCAGAGGAGGAGGCTGACATTCAGAAAGGCCCTGGAAGGGAGGGGTTGCATTTCGCGCCCAGCTCCCAAGTGGACACTGCCTGGGCTCCTGGCTCTACCGCTTCGATGCTCCACCTCAGGGTCCCCATCTGTGAAATGGGACAGCAAGAGCCTGCCTCTGTGGACTTTGTGAGGGTGACAGAGAGAATCCAGGGTAAACACTCCACACAGATGTAACACCTAGTAGGTGCTCAGTACACAGGAGCCCAGCTGCTACTGCTGTGCTGCTGTTGTTACTCCCAGCAGCCCCAGGAGGTGGGGGTCTTCATGACACAAGTGAGAGCTGAGGAACAGCACACGAGGAGGCAGGCACAGAACCAGGACAGGGTTGTCCATTTCCTGGGTCCCTGATCAGGACGTTTGTCCAGCAGTGTCTGTCAGGGGGCCGTTTTCCCGTGAGCACCAGGAGAGGTTGGGGGAGGAGACTGCAATGGCTTCGGAGGTGTCCCCTGCACTCTCTTGGGGACACAAACCCTGGGAGACAGAGCCATGGAACCCAGATCCACGTTCCTGGCCAGGGATGTTTCCTGCACTGTCTGCTGCTTTGAGAGATCCCCACCCAGTTTCCTCTTCCCTGCTGGCTCAGCATTGCTTACCTCTTGACTTGTGTTCATAATCTCGCAGACAAGGGTCACATGGTCTCTCATTTTGCCTTTTGATTTGCATTTACCTGATGATTAGTGATACTGAGCACCCTTTCGTGATCTTGATCGTTTGCATATCTGCTTTTAGGAAATGTCTGTTCAATTTATTGATTTTTAGTTGGATTTTTGATTTATAGTCTTTATACATTTTGGACAGGAACTCCTTTCTGGTATATAATTTGCAAGTATCTTTACCCACCCCAAGGGTGGCCTTCCCATTATGGACCCAAAATCCCAGGAGCCCCCTTATGATGTAATAGACAAATCCTTGGTTTGTGACCTCAGCCACTAAAACCCAGGGAATCTCAGGTGTGCTGAGAGGGTGCTTTAATGCTAACGGATGACTGGGCTGGGCCCTAGGAAACTACAGGGCAAGCCTGGTGACCAGAAAGAAAAAGGTTGGCTTCCAGGGAGAGGGGCTAAGAGTTTGAGGATGGGTCCTTTCCTCATGTAAGGCAGAACCCAGTCTCCTTTTGGAAGAACTCAGTATACAAACAAGGTAGTGAGGTTAACATTCAAATTCAAATCAGGACTAAAATCACCCATATTAAAATGAGAGTCCAATGGAGCCAAAGCCCAAAAGAGACTCCTCAGTGAGAGGGTGTGTCCTGTTGTCAATGATACAGTAGTTTGTGTCCCTGGGGAGGACTAGTTCTGCAGGCAGCTTAAGACAGGTGGTGTGGGTTATTGTTTTTTTGTTCCTTTATTTGTTTTGTTGCTCAATATTTATTGAGATGAATGTGCTTTGCACTACAGACCATTGCTGAATCTCAGTAGATGATATTGTGGGTGTATTTATTTATGTCACAGTTGAGAGGAGGTTAAAAGCATATCTTGGTAGAAAAGACACCAAGTATTGATATTTTCTTCACTGCACAAGTAGGGAAGGGTAGAAAAAGAAGAGAAGGGAGGGGGGAATTGAATAGACGGAGTATATATACATAAAGGTTGCAGATATTGCTGTTCAGTTTCTAGCATCTCCGTGTTCAACGAACAAGGATACTCCAGCCTGAAAAATGCTTTTTATTTTAAGTGCCATGGCATAGGAAGGATTGATGAAATCCTTGGCTTTAAAAAGAGCCTAAATGCCACAAACCCTGGAAGACTAAGATAAAATTGTTTCCTCCATTCCCGGATTTCAGGATTTCCTGAGCCCTGTTCCATTTGAAGGGTGAGAAAAGTGAGGCTCAGGGCAATGAATAGCCAACCAAGGAATATGGCTTCAAACAATTCTGAGCTGCAGCTCCTCAGGCTTGGATTCCTCCAGCCCAGGTCAAACCAGACACCTCCAGCAAAGATTCAGCAACAGGCAAGGGTCCGCAGGTGTCACTCTTGCACCTGGGGTCCCCAGCTCTGCTTCACATGGGAATGTTGAGATTGGCTGAGTGCTGAGCTGCCTGCAAAGCCCACCAGGCCTGGAACACACACAGCTCAGTGCCCCTCATACATGGCAGGATTTGCAACGGGGCTCAGGAAACCCTGAAATCCAGGAGTGGCTGAAATAATGCTCCCTGGGACTGCTGTCGTTTCCTTCTGAGAGCTTCATTGCACCCCAAACCTACCTCCCTGGAAAGCCCACACTCTCTATGCAGGCTAAGGGCAGGGCGCCCCTCTGAAGGCTCCTGCACCTGTGTGATCCCCTCCCAGCATGGTGAAGGCCCTGATTCCACTCCCTGGCCTGTGTGTGGAGGAGGCTGATGGGGGTGCCCTGCTCTGAATCTTTGCCCTTAGGGGGCCTGCCCTGACCCCTCCACTCCCCTGGCCACACCCCAGTGTGCTTTCCTCTGGGTGACTTCCTGCTCTGGCTGCTTGAGGCCTGCCTGTTCTTACCTGGTGCCCCAGGGCCAGGCCAGGTCTGAGGAGACCTGGGGGTGGATGCTCTGAGCTCAACCCCCTGAAACCCTCACCTCCTGTCAGCATCAAGCTCAAGGCTGGGACCCCCAGAGTCCAGGTCCAGGAGAGGGAAGACTCAGAGGACACAGATCAGTGGGTGTCACCCCACCCTCCCTCACCCTCCTGATGTATTTTTGTAGAGCACAGGGGTCCTTGGGTTCACTCTGGGAAAGGTCTCACTAGGGCTTACTGGTCAGCGGCACACAGCGCGTTTCCTGGCCAGTTTCTCCATGAGGCAGAGACATTAGCTACGTTTAAAGAACAGGTTTATTAGAGAAAGGGACAGAAAGACACTTCTGTAAAAGACACTTACATAGACACCAGCGGGCAGGAAGAGCTGCCCTGAAAGGGACAGGTTTGCTGAGAGAGGCCTGCATGGTTGCAGGCAGGTGACCTTGGGGAGAGCAGCCTCTGCTGAGGGAGGTCATTGAAGAGAAGTCCTGGTAGCTGCAGGTCAAGGCCAGGCAGGGAGGCTGCCCCCCTGCAGAGGAGAAAGGTGGTAAGAAGAGGCACCTACATGGCCACAGGGGGCCAGTGGGGGTGCTGCCCTGAGCCTGTGCAGAGCCTGCACTGATATGGTCCTTTTCTCTTTGGGAGGGGTCACTCCTCCTTGGAGTGGCCTGCACTCCAAGTTGCTGCTGTTGGGTAACAGGCAAAACCAGGAGCGGATCAGAGATTCCAGGACGGGGCCCAATCTCCATCTCTACCCTAGGGCCTGTGCTCCACTCCCTGTAGCATCTGCTCCTGCCTGGGTCTCATGCCTTGTGATAAGGCGCTGGTGCCTAAGGGTCTGGACCTAAGAGGCTGGGTTAACAATCATGTTGTTCCCCGAGACCCCCCACCTCCTTGTGTGAGTCAGGGTTTAGACTTGTGAGGCCTCCTTTTCCGATTCACTATTCTTGTCCTCCATCACTCCCACCGCACCAGGGGTCCTGAGTGATGCCTGCCCCCCAATGCCCCCACCCCAGGTGTCCTGACCTTGTGCTGTGTCTCCCTCTCCCCTGGGCTCATCCTTGCTATGGCTTTTCTACCACTCCCCTTTGCCTTCCACCCCCAACAACACCTACTAGCAGGTTCCCTGGGGTGTGAAAAGCTGGGCTATCATTACCAGGAGAGGAATGACCCCAATGCAGTCTTGCCTTGGGGGATGGTGGGGTGGGCCCAAGGGTGACCACTTGCCTGCCTGCCTGATGTCCCTCACCTCCCAATCCCTCACCTCCACCTCATCCCCCCCCCCCATACCCCGCAGGGAGCTGCTATCCTCAACCTCAGCAACCTCAACTCCAGAGTGACTCATGGATGCACAACAACCTACCTTATGCGACTGGTGAGTAGACAAAGTGCCCTCTGCCTGTTGTCAATCTTCTGCTCCCCCCAACACATCTGTCCTCTCGGACCCCATCCCTGAACCCCCCTAGACTCTCTTCTAGTCAGTGACTGGGGCCCAGTCTATCCAAGGGGGGATCCGGGACAAGAGGAGGCAGCGCTTACAGGACCCTTCACCTGACAGGTGCATTCCCAACACCCCATGTGCCCTCACCTGCCCGGAAGGGGTGCTCTAAGCCCAGAGAGGAGGAGGCTGACATTCAGAGGGGCCCTGGGAGGGACTGGATAGGTGTCCTGTCAGCTCCCGGGGAGACACTGCCTGGCCTCCTGGCTCTCCCCCTTCCCTGCTCCGCCTCGGGGTCCCCATCTGTGAAACGGGAGAGCAAGAGCCTGCCTCTGTGGATCGCTTAAGCTTTGAAGAGACCCCGCCGTGAACATGGTCCAGATCTGGGACCCAGGAAATGCACACCCTGTCCTGGATCTGTCTCCGCCTCCCCGTGTGAGTCCTTACACCTCCCTGAGCCTCAGGTCTCCCCTTGGCATGAAGAGCCTCCACCCAACCCCCCAACAACCTCTCTGGGGCTGCTGGAGCAGCAGCAGCAGCCCTGCAGGGCTCCTGTGCACTGAGCACCTCACCTGTGAGCTTCAAGAGGGACTTGCACTGCAGGCACACACAGAAGGTTAATGAAAGGTTTATTTCCAAAAGAAAGGGAAAATGAAGACACGAATAACTCAGGGGAAAAAGAGGCAGATAAACTCATGAATGTGCCCTACCCTTCTGCTGGCCTGGAATCCCAAGGGCAGGCTGAGAGCTGGCCAAGAGCCAAGAGCCTTGAGGCCTAGAGAGCCACCCAAGGCCCACCCATCTGCTTTTGTACCAAACCTGGCAGCTTGACACCACCCTCAGGTCCCGGGAGCCCTCCCTGTGGTGATGATGGGATTTGTCATTTCCAGTGTCTTGTTGGCTTTGGTCTGGAGTGGAGGCGGAGTCCACAAAGTCTGTATGGAATTAGCTCAGGACATCCTTTCCCCCTAACAGGGGTGTCCCCTGCGCTGTCTTGGAGACACAAGCCCTGGAAGACAGAGCCCCGGAACCCAGAACCACGTTCCTAGGCAGGGACACCTCCTGCACCCGCTGCTGCTTGGGGAGATCCCCACCCAGTTTCCTCCTCCCCGCGCCTCACCCCTGCTTACCTCTTGACTTTTGCTCATCATCTTGCACACCAGTGTGACAGGTCTTCTGATTTGCATTTTGCCTTTTGATTTGCATTTATCTGGTGATTAGATGTGCTGAGGATGTTTACTTGAAGGGAACTTGGTCATTTGCATATCCGCTTTTCCAAAATGTGTATTCGAGGCTGTTACTGGTTTTTAATGGGATTATTGAGTTAGATTTTATATACATTTTGGACATGAACTCCTTATCTTGTATATAATTTGAAAATATTTTTGCCCACTCCATGGGTGGCCTTCTCATTTTGTTGACCCAAAGCTTGAGGAGCCCCCTGATGATGTGATACACAAAACATTGGATTTGGGTCCTCAGCCACTAAAATCCCGGGAACCGCTGGCATGCTTAGAGGGTCCTTTGAAGCTAATGGGTGACTGGGCTGGGCCCTAGGAAACTACAGGGCAAGCCTGGTGACCAGAAAGACATAGCTTGGCTTCCAGGGAGAGGGGCTTAGAGTTTGAGGATGGGTCCTTTCCGCATGTAAGGCAGAAAGCAGTCTCCTTCTGGAAGAACTGGGTATACAAATAAGGAAGTAAGGTTAACATTCAAATTCAAATCAGGACTAACTAATCTCGCCCAATGTTAAAATGAGAGTCCAATGCAGCCAGAAGCCAAAAGAGACTCCTCAGTGAGAGGGTGTGTCCTATTGTCAATGACACAGTAGATTGTGTCCCTGGGGAGGACTAGGCCTGCAGGCTGCCTTAAGACAAGTGGGTTGGGGTGTGGTTTTTCTCTTTGTTTGTTTGTTTGCTAAATCTATATTGAGATGACTGTACTTTGTGCTTGACTATTGTTGGACCCCTGAAGATAAGAGCATGGTTGTGTTTATTCTCTTCAAAGATCACAGGGGTTGGGTTGTGGAGATAGTGGGGGAAGGGGAGGGTTACAAACTTTCCTTGGTAGAAGGACATCAAGTCCTCATATTTTCCTCACTTGACACTTAGGGAAGGTTAGAAAAGGAAGAGAGGAGGGAATTGGATAGACTCGAGGCTATTTAACAGAAGGTTGTAGCTATTGCTGCTCAGTGCCCGGTTTGATGTAAGGCTTCCAGGGAGAGGGGCTGAGATTCGCCTCGCCACTAAAGCCAAGGATTTCATCAGTTCTGCCTACGCAATGTAACCTAAATATAGACGGGGTTTTCAGGCTGGCGTCTCCCTGTTGGGGAAACACGGAGGTGCTGGGAGGACCGCACATGGGCAGGGTTCAGGAGTTCCTGCACCTCCCACCCCTCAGCCTGTGCTGCATCCCTTTGCGGGTCCTGAGCCAAACACCTGCATCCTAAGCCAGTAAGGAGACTGCTCCTGAGGCCTGAGAGTCAGTCTAGGAAACTCTCAACCCTGAAAGCATTTGTGGGGCTGCGAGGACTTTGGAATTTGAATGTAGGATGAACAAACAGGGTGGATAATCAGGGCACCTCACTGGCAACTGCCATCTGAGGTGGGGAGCGGTCCTGCCGTACAGGATGAAGCCCTGTTGAAACCCTGGGTCTTGTGCTGAGTCTAGGGTGTTCATGTCAGTGTTGACCTGAGTTATAGGACACCCAGCAGGTGTCCCAGAGAGCTGGTGTCAGGAGATAAAAACCCAAACCCCTCTTCCAGAATAAATTCTCTATACATGGAAAGTAGCGTCCCCCATGGAGGCTCAAATTCCTGACACATCCCTCCTTTAGGGCAGTCCTTTCAGCTCTTGGTGAATCTGACTGTCAGAATGTCCTGCACTGGCTATTGTCCATTAAAAATAGAAATAATCATATAAAATGTTGCTGTATTTTTACCTCTTGGCTTACCTAACATGGCCCATTTGGCAGGTGAGCAAAGGGAGGCTCAGTGCCTTGAAATAGCCACCCAAGGAGCCAGTGTCAAAGCAAGTCTGAGCTGCAGCTCCTCAGGCCTGGCTTCCTCCTGCCCAGGTCAAGCCAGACACCTCCCGCAATATTCCCCAACAGGCAAGGGTCTGCAGGTGTCACTCTTGCACCTGGTGTCCCCAGCTCTGCTTCAGGAGGGTATGTTGAGATTGGCTGAGTGCTGAGCTGCCTGCAAAGCCCACCTGGCCTGAAACACACACAGCTCAGTGCTATGATTTTCAGGAATCCCTGAAATCCAGGAGTGGCTGAAACAATGCTCCCTGGGTCTGCTGTTCTTTCCTTCTAAGAGCTGCATTGCAACCCAAATCTACCTCCTTAGAATGCCCACACTCTACATGCTGGATAGTGGCGGTATGCCCCTCTGAAGGCACCTGTGTTTGGTCCATGCTCAGCATGGTGAGCGCCCTGATTCCACTCCCTGGCCTGTGTGTGGAGCTGGCTGATGGGGGTGCCTTGCTCTGAATCTTTGCCCTTAGCAGGCCTGCCCTGACCCCTCCACTCCCCTGGCCACACCCCAGTGTACTTTCCTCTGGGTGACTTCCTGCTCTGGCTACTTGAGGCCTGTTCTCAGTTTTTGTCCAAGGGCCAGTCAAGTTCTAAGGAGACCTGGGGGTGGATGCTCTGAGCTCGACCTCCTGAAACCTCCCCAACTGTCAGCATCAAGCTCCAGGCTAAGGTCCAGAGTTCAGGTCCAGGAGAGGGAAGACTCAGAGGACACAGATCAGTGTGTGTCACCCCATCCCCCCTCACCCTCCCACCCCTTCAGTGATTCTCAATGATGCCCCTCAATCCCCCAGGCCCCAGGTCTCCTAACTTGTCCAGTGTCTCCCACTCCCCTGGGCTCCTCCTTACAATGGCTTTTCTACCACTCCCCTTTGCCTTCCTCCCCCAACAACAGCTATTAGCAGGTTCCCTGGGTAGTGGAAATTGGGCTATGAGTGAGTGCTGGGTAGGAGCTTACCAGGAGGGGAATGATCCCAACTGAGTCTTGCCTTGGGGGATGTGGGATGGGGCCAAGGCTGATCACTTCCACATCTGCCTGATGTTCCTCCCGTCCCACCATCCCATCCCCATCCCACTGAACTCTTTGGGTCCAGCTGAAGCCATTGCGCACCATGAAGACCATGCAAAGCCATCATCGCACTTAAGCCAAAGGGATGAGAAACACAAAAAGTCTGGGTTCCTGCTGTGTGATATGCAAGCAATCGGCCCTCAATTGGACCACTTACATCACGTGGATTCACAAAAAGGGATGGATGACCTAGAAGTTAAAATTTCTATGTTAAGTGAGTAGACAAATTGCCCTCACTCTTCTCTCCAACAACTTCTGCCCCTCAGGCCTGACCTCTGAACCCTCCTAGACCTTCTTCTAATAAGTGATTGGGGCCTCCTCTACCCAAGGGGGTATCCAGGACCAGAGAAGTCAGCTCTTACAGGATCCTTCATCTGCCAAGTGCGTTCCCAGCACCCCATGTGGCTCACCTGCCCGGGAGAGGTGCTCAGAGCCCAGAGAGGAGGAGACTGACATTCAGAGGGGCCCTGGGAGGGACGGGATAGGTGTTCTGTCAGCTCCCGGGGAGACACTGCTTGGCCTCCTGGCTCTCCCCCTTCCCTGCTCCGCCTTGGGGTCCCCACCTGTGACATGGGAGAGCAAGAGCCTGCGCTGTGGACGGCGTGAGGGTTGAAGAGAGAACCCACGGTAAACACCAACCTTATCTGGGACCCAGGAAATGCACACCCTGTCCTGGATCTGTCTCCGCCTCCCCATGTGAGTGAGGACACCTCTCTCGCCTCAGGTCTCCCCTTGGCATGAAGAGCCTACACACACACACACACACACACACACACACACATCATCACAACCACTCCCTCCCTCCCACTACCCACCCACCAGCTGCTGGAGCAGCAGCAGCAGCAGCAACCCAGCAGGGCTCCTGTGCACTGAGCACCTCACCTGTGAGCTTCAAGAGGGACTTGCACTGCAGGCACACACAGAAGGTTAATAAAAGTTTTATTTACAAAAGAAAGGGAAAATGAAGACACGAATAACTCAGGGAGAGAAAGAGACAGATAAACTCATGAATATGTCCTATGCTTCTGCAGATCTGGAATCCCAAGGACCTGCTGAGAGCTGGCGAAGAGCTAAGAGCCTTGAGGCCAAGAGAGCCACACGAGGCCCACCTGTCTGCTTTTGTACCAGCCCTGGCAACTTGACTCCACCCTCAGGTCCAGGCAACCCTCCCTGTGGTGGTGATGGGTTTTGTCATTCCCAGTGTCTTGATGGCTTTGGTCTGGAGTGGGGGGTGGAGTCCACAAAGCCTGTATGGAATTAGCTCAGGACATCCTTTTCCCCTAATAGGGGATGTCTCCTGCGCTCTCTCGGAGACACAAGCCCTGGGAGACAGAGCCGCGGAACCCAGAACCAGGTTCCTGGGCAGGGAACCTGTACCCGCTGCTGCTTGGGGAGACCCCCACCGGGTTCCCTCTTCTCTGCGCCTCACCATAGCTAACCTCTTGACTTTTGCTCATAATCTTGCAGACCAGTGCGACAGGATCTCCCATTTTGTCTTTTGATTTGCATTTATCTGGTGATTAGATGTGCTGAGGACATTTTCATGAAGGGAACTTGGTCATTTGCATGTCCACTTTTCCAAAATGTGTATTCACGTCTGTTACTGATTTTTAATGTGATTATTGAATTAGATTTTGTATACATTTCGGGCATGAACTCCTTATCTGGTATATAATTTGAAAATATTTTTGCCCACTCCATGGGTGGCCTTCTCATTTTGTTGACCCAAAATCCCAGGAGCATCCTTATGATGTAATACACAAAAATATTTGGTTTGTGGCCTCAGCTGCTACAACCCTGGGAATCTCAACAGTGCTCAGAAGGTCCTTTTATACTAAAGGATGACTGGCCTGGGCCTTAAGAAACATCCAGGGAAGCCTGGAGACCAGAAAGACAAAGGTTGCCTTCCAGGGAGAGGGGCTAAGAGTTTGAGGATGGGTCCTTTCCTCCTATAAGGCAGGAACTAGTCTTGTTCTGAAAGAACTTGGTATACAAATAAGGAAGTAAGGTTAACATTGAAATTTCTGAGCCTCTAGAGGGCTCTGAGACCTGGGACGCTGGTCACAAAGGACTCACCAGACAGGGGACTGCTGTCAGCTACAAGCAGTGACTGTCTGTTTTTCTCAGCATGGTTACATGGGAATTGTGAACAAGGACTTAATCATTTTATCATAAGTCAGAGAAAGTAGAACAACCTTACCTTGCAGGTCAAGGCCAGGCAGGGAGGCTGCCACCCTGCGGAGGAGGCAGGTGGTAAGAAGAGGCACCTATATGGCCACAGGGGGCCAGTGGAGGTGCTGCCCTGAGCCTGTGCAGAGCCTGCACTGATATGGTCCTTTTCTCTTTGGGAGGGGTCACTCCTCCTTGGAGTGGCCTGCTAGTTGCGGCTGTTGGGGAACAGGCAAAACCAGGAGCGGATCAGAGATTCCAGGACAGGGCCCAATCTCCATCTCTACCCTAGGGCCTGTGCTCCACTCCCCATAGCATCTGCTCCTGCCTGGGTCTCATGCCTTGTGATAAGGCCTGGTGCCTAAGGGTCTGGACCTAAGAGGCTGAGTTAATGATCATATTATTCCCCGAGACCCCTACCTCCTTGTGTGAGTCAGGGTTTAGTCTTGGGAGGCCTCCTTTCCCCTTTCACTATTCTTGTCCTCCATCACTCCCACCCCACCAGGGGTCCTGAATGATGCCCCCAATGCCCCGGACCCCAGGTGTCCTGACCTTGTGCTGTGTCTCCCTCTCCCCTGGGCTTCTCCTTACTATGTCTTTTCTACCACTCCCCTTTGCCTTCCTCCCCCACACCACCTACTAGCAGGTTCCCTGGGGTATGAAAAGCTGGTCTATCATTACCAGGAGAGGAATGACCCCAATGCAGTCTTGCCTTGGGAGATGGTGGGGTGGGGGCAAGGGTGACCACTTCCCTGCCTGCCTGATGTCCCTCACCTCCCAATCCCTCACCCCTACCTCACCGCCCCACCCCCCCACACACCACAGGGAGCTGCTATCCTCAACCTCAGCAACCTCAACTCCAGAGTGACTCATGGATGCACAACAACCTACCTTATGCGACTGGTGAGTAGACAAAGTGCCCTCTGCCTGTTGTCAATCTTCTGCTCCCCCCACCACCTCTGCCCCCTGGGGCCCCATCCCTGAACCCCCCTAGACCTTCTTCTAGTCAGTGACTGGGGCCCAGTCTATCCAAGGTGGGATCCGGGACCAGAGGAGGCAGCGCTTACAGGACCCTTCACCTGACAGGTGCATTCCCAACACCCCATGTGCCCTCACCTGCCCGGAAGGGGTGCTCTAAGCCCAGAGAGGAGGAGGCTGACATTCAGAGGGGCCCTGGGAGGGACTGGATAGGTGTCCTGTCAGCTCCCAGGGAGACACTACCTGGCCTCCTGGCTCTCCCCCTTCTCTGCTCCGCCTCGGGGTCCCCATCTGTGAAACGGGAGAGCAAGAGCCTGCCTCTGTGGATCGCTTGAGCTTTGAAGAGACCCCGCCGTGAACACGGTCCTGATCTGGGACCCAGGAAATGCACACCCTGTCCTGGGTCTGTCTCCACCTCCCCATGTGAGTGAGGACACCTCCCTGAGCCTCAGGTCTCCCCTTGGCATGAAGAGCCTCCACCCATCCCCCCCAACCCCTCTGGGGCTGCTGGAGCAGCAGCAGCAGCAGCAACCCAGCAGGGCTCCTGTGCACTGAGCACCTCACCTGTGAGCTTCAAGAGGGACTTGCACTGCAGGCACACACAGAAGGTTAATGAAAGGTTTATTTCCAAAAGAAAGGGAAAATGAAGATGTTATAGGACAGGGAGAGGGGCAGCCCAAACCCCGCAAACCTGCCTATTCTAAATGGGTTCTGCCATCCGCCGCATCAACACAAAACATATGACACTTTAATGGGAAGGAACTTTAATAAAAACTAGAAAACAATACAGGTAAGGCAAAGAGTCTAGTTTCTAAATGAAGCACCCAAAGTTACCCATCCCCTCGTGGGTAAAACTTCATCCATATGGGGTCGGCCCAGAGCAAGGCCCCAAAGCCTGCCACAAGTCTAAAACATCTTCCAGTGGGGACCCACAGAAAAGGGTCACAAACAACCGGACAAGCCCGGAAGGAAAAGAGCAAAATCAACATCAAGATAAAAGCTGCCATTGTCACCTCCCCACGGGTCTCACCCACATCTGTGTCACCCAGTCCACGACCAAAAGACAAGCGCAGTTTCTTCACGTGTCTCTAGGCTCCATGTGCCTCCTCCAGGTCTCCTTGCTCCATCCTGCTTCCTTCCTTCCTCAGTCTCTTCTGCAGCTTCTCCTCTTCCTGCTCAGCTCCACCCTCCCTTGGGTGGGGCAGGGAACCTCCCCCTTTCCTGGGGACCACACTGTTGCAATCCCCCCTTTTAATTTTATTCCACCATATATACAGGGGAAAAAGAGGCAGATAAACTCATGAATGTGTCTTACCCTTCTGCTGGCCTGGAATCCCAAGGGCAGGCTGAGAGCTGGCCAAGAGCCAAGAGCCTTGAGGCCTAGAGAGCCCCCAAAGGCCCACCTGTCTGCTTTTGTACCAAACCTGGCAGCTTGACTCCATCCTCAGGTCCCGGGAGCCCTCCCTGTGGTGGTGATGGGATTTGTCATTTCCAGTGTCTTGTTGGCTTTGGTCTGGAGTGGAGGCAGAGTCCACAAAGCCTGTATGGAATTAGCTCAGGACATCCTTTCCCCCTAACAGGGGGTGTCTCCTGCGCTCTCTTGGAGACACAAACCCTGGGAGACAGAGCCACGGAACCCAGAACCACGTTCCTGGGCAGGGATGTCTCCTGCACCCGCTGCTGCTTGGGGAAACCCCCACCAGTTTTCTTCTCCCTGGGGCTACTGCTGCTGGGGTTGCTCCACCATCCCAGAACAGAGGGGGAGAGGGGTATACAGGGGAGGCTGGGGGAGAGGGGGTTGTGGTGGTGGGAGGCTCTTCAATCCACAGGAAGACCTGAGGCTCAGAGAGCTCTGAGGACTCCCATAGGGAGACAGAGACAGACCCAGGACAGGGTGTACATTTCCTGGGTGCCAGATCAGGACGTTTGTCCAGCAGTGTCTGTCTGGGTATGCTTTTCCCGTGAGCGCCAGGAGAGTTGGGGAGGGGCCTTTAATGCTTCATGGTGTCTCCTGGGCTCTGTTGGAGACACAAGCTCTGGGAGACAGAGCCATGGAACCCAGAACCACGTTCCTGGGTAGGGATGTCTCCTGCACTGGCTGCTGCTTAGGGAGATCCCCGCCCAGTTCCCTCCTCCCGAGGCTCACCATTGCTTACCTCTTGACTTTGGTCGTAATATTTCAGGGGAGTATGACAGGGTCTCCCATTTTTGCCTTTAAATTTGCATTTACTTGATGATAAGTGATACTGAGGACGTTTTCGTTAACTTGTTCATCTGCATATCTGCTTTTCAAAAATGTCTGTTCGAGTCTGTTATTGATTATTAATTGGATTGCGGATTTTTATTCTTTATACGTTTTGGACATGAACTCCTTACCTGATATATAATTTGCAAATATTTTTGCCCACCCCTTAGGTGGTCTGCTCTTTTTTTTGACCCAAAATCCCAGGAGCCTCCTTTTGATGTAATACATAAAAATATTTGGTTTGTGACCTCAGCTGCTACAACCCTGGGAATCTCAGGAGTGCTCAGAGGGTCCTTTTATACTACAGGATGACTGGGCTGGGCCCTAGGAAACTTCAGGGGAAGCTTGGCGACCAGAAAGACAAAGGTTGCCTTCCAAGGGGAGGGTCTAAGAGTTTGAGGATGGGTCCTTTCCGCATGTAAGGCAGAAACCAGTCTCCTTCTGGAAGAACTTGTTACACAAATAAGGAAGTAAGTTAACATTCAAATACAAATTAGGAATAAAATCATCCAACATTAAATTGAGAGTAGAATGCAGCCAATAGTCAAGAGACTCCTCAGTGAGAGGGTGTGTCCTATTGTCTATGACACAGTAGATTGTGTCCCTGGGGAGGACTAGGCCTGCAGGCTGCCCTAAGACAGGTGGCTTGGGTTTTTTTTTTTTTTTTTTTTTTTGCTAAATCTTTGTGGATAACACCGTACTTTGCCCTAGAGACTATTTCTAGATCTTGGAAGATGATAATGTGGGTGTGTTTATTCTTGTCAAAGAAGACAGAGGCCGGAATTTCATAGACTCAAGTATATTTAACAAGAGGTTGCAGCTACTTTTTTCTTGTTTTTCGTTTTTTTTTTTTTTAAGATTTATTTATTTATTTATACAAGCACTTGGTACAGTCAGAAGCGCGGGAGGGCGAGAGAATTCACCAGAGTCAGAGCGGGGAGCAGAGCAGGCAGACTGACAAAGTATAGTGCTGAGGGGAGCAGCGGGTGGCAGGAGAGGTCTCTGCGCCATGTGGGAACCTCACCCGGTGGCCGGGGATCAAACCAGCGCTGCAGAGGCTATGGGCAGCTTTGCAACCCAGTGCTCAACCGCTGCACCACCAGGGAGGCCCTCAGGGCACAGTTTTATCTAAGGTTTCCAGGGAGAGGGGCTGAGAATAGGCTCCTACTAATGCCAAGGATTTGATCATCCTGCCCACGTAATGAAACCTAACAATAAAAAGCCTTTTCAGGCTGGAGATCCCTTGTTGGTGAAACAAGGAAGTTCCGGTATGGGTGCACCTGGACAGGGCTCATAATCTCCTGCACTCCCCAAGCTTCACCCTAGGCTGCATCCCTTGGTGGGTCCTGAGCCAAAAACCTGTATCCTAAACCACTAAGGAGACTGCTCCTGAGGCCTGAGAGTCAGTCTAGGAAACTATTCAAATACGAATGGATTTGTGGTGTTGTGAGGACTTTGGAATTTATCTGCAGGATGAACAAACAGGGTGGATAATCAGGGCACATCACTGGCAACTGCCATCTGAAGTGGGGAGTGGTCCTGTGTACAGAACTAAGCCCTTGAACCCCTGGGTCCTGTGCTGAGTCTGGGGAGTTCATGTCAGTATTGAACTGAGTTGTAGGACACCCAGCTGGTGCCCCAGAGAGCTGGTGTCAGGAGGTAAAAACCCAATCCCCTCTTCCAGAATAAATTCTCTACACATGGAGAGGTAGGATCCCCCGTGGAAGCTCAAATACATGACATCATCCCTTCTATAGGGCAGCACTTCCAGCTCCTGGTGAATCTGTCAGAATATCCTCCAGTGTTTATTGTCCATTACAAATAGAAGCAATCACTATATAAAATATTTAAAGCTATCTATGAGCTTTTGCTGAATTTGAACCTCTTGGCTTACCTAAGATGGCCCGTTTGACAGGTGAGCAAAGTGAGGCTCAGGGCAGTGAAACAGCCAGCCAAGGAGTCAGTATCCAAGCAAATGTTGAGCTACAGCTCCTCAGGCCTGGCTTCCTGCAGCTCAGGTCAAGGCAGGCACCTCCAGAAATGATTACCCAACAAAAAGTTCAGCAGGAGTCATTCTTGTACCCGGTGTCCCCAGCTCTACTTCACATGGAATGTTGAGATTGGCTGAGTGCTGAGCTGTCCACAAAGCATACCCGGCCTGGAAAATACACAGCTCAGTGCCCCTCATACATGGCAGGATTTTTGCAATGGGGCTCAGGAAACCCTGAAATCCAGTAATAGCTGGAATAATGCTCCCTGGGACAGCTGTAGTTTCTTCTGAGATCTGTATCACACCCCGTATCCACCTCCCTGAAAGCCCACACCCCAGCTTTACATGACGGCTAGAGTCGGGAGCACCCCTCTGAAAATGCCTATACCTGTATGCTCCAGGGCTCCTTGCCCAGCACCGTGAGCACCTCGATTGCACACAGCTGGCCTGCCTGTGGAGGTGGCTTATGTGGTTGCCCTGCTCTGAATCTTTGGCCTTATCATGACTTCCCTGACCCTGGCCACATGCCAGTGTGCTTTCCTCTGGGTGACCTCCACTCTGGCTGTTTGAGGCCTGTCCTTCTGAGTTGATGTCCCAGAGTCGGGCGAGGACTGAGAAGATTTGGGGTGGACACTCTGAGCTTGACCCTCTGAAACCCCCACCTTTTTGGGCCTCCCCGGTGGCGCAGCG